CCACGGACTTAAGTCTATTTGGACCCCACCCATTGTAACATACTTTTCAGTGGCAGAAGCTATCTGTGCTGCAACACCTCATACCAACATACCCAGCTTCCTGGCCACTGACCAGTCCCAGAGCCCGAGACACACAAGCCTCTGCCTCACTCAGGCAGCTCTTCAGTCGCTGTAGCAGCTCACTGTTAGGAAACCTTCGCTCTCGGGCCTCAGATTCCAGTGCTCTCAGTTCTTCAAGGCCTGGAGGAAGAATGAGAGCAGCAAGGAGTATACAGCATATGTAAAGGCAGAAGGAAAAGGTCAGGGATACAAAAGAAAAGAGGAATAGAACTTGTCTGTAGAGTCCCTCCAACCCCACCCCCACCACCCTACCCCAGCAATCACTCACTGCGCTTCCGCCCATCTTCCACCTCCAGAGCCACTCGTACTTTGTTAGCCCACGTGTCAAAGGATTCAGCTCGAACTTTCAGTTTATGCAGCATGGCAGGGAGCTCATCCAAGGTGTATCGGTACCTGGAAAAGGACCAGAAAAAGCACATTTTAGCCCAACTTTGCACCCTCCTACTTCCTTCAGGTAGGCCCTATACTTACCGAAGGTACTGTCGGCTACTGGAGCACTTGCAGAGGTCATTGATGTGAGAAAGGCAGACAAGGCCATCTGGACAGTCATAGCAAGCCAGGGCAGATAGGAAACATGTGGTCTTGCACTTTATGCACTGACGTTCATCATCTGGAAGCTGCTCAAAAGCTTCTCGCTCAGCCTCAGTGATACCCTGGGGGTATACAACCCATACATTATTCAGAACCAGAGAGGATGGCAGAAACCCCCACCTCAGCTATCATAGAGTAATTTAAATTTATGATGATGGTCATGAACACTGGGAAAGCCAAATTTCACATCACATTTGCCCTCTGTCAGGTCCACAATCTCAAAGCAGGTTCAGAATGATCAGGATTGATCAGATCAATGTGGATTTTAAGACCCCCCCCCCCAAAAAAAAAGCATAAAGATAGAAAAATCTGGGTAAGATTCAGATTAGGAGCTAGGCAACATGACAAATGCTTGTAATTCAGCCTTCAGAAGGCTGAGGCAGAAGGATTACTGTGAACTCGATGCCAGCAAGATGTAGTCTCACAAAACCAAGGGCAAGGGAGATGATGACTGAGCAAGCAAAGGCACTTGTTATATGAGTCTGGAAATCTGAATTCAATTCCCAGAACCATGTTTTTAGGTAGAAGGAGAAAATAGACTCCCAAAAAGTTGTCCTCTGACCTCCCCAGGCTCACCACTGCCTAGATTAGACTAAAAGGCCTGTAAGTGAGAGAGATAAAGAATGTGGACCTGAGCAGCAGAGAGGTGGAAATGTAAGGTTTGTCCTAGGAAACAATGCTGGGTTTAGTCACTTACATTCACTATGTTCCAGACACTACTGCTTAGTAAATGGAAACACTATGCACCAATAGAACTTACAGAAACACAATTACATGGTTTTTTAATATATAAAAATAAAGCAATCCATGCGTAAAATGAAGAAAAGTCAAATATGCAAATATACTGAAGTCACTAAAAGACAAAATTACGAGCAATTTTAGGAATTTTAAGAAGAAATGCTGGCTCCAATAAGTTTTGTCTTACATACCAACTTTAAAATCAAACTGCTGCTAATGTGGCTGTGATCCCCCAATCTTCATAAAAAGTTATTTAAATCTTTCTCAATCTGTTTGTTTCTCTTGTCTGCAATAACTATCATTCTTGTTCAATTGTTCTAAATATTTCAATTAAGGACTTAATATATTAACACTATGAATTATGAAGTACTCAACAAACATTATTATTAGTTCTAGTTTTTAGGTAAGAATATGCATCTCATAAGGATATCTCATTTACTAAAGGATAACAGAGAAAGCCAGCAGCTTGTCAAAGTAAGGATTTGACTGCAGATAATTTTGAATTCAAAGCTAGAGAATGTTGGAAGGGTGAAGCCCCTAGATTTCTTCAGATCACAGACATATAGACATACTAAGTCATCTCCATAAAAATATTCAAAAACACATATCATATCTAAAAGATCTCAAGATTGGGGGGGTGGTGGTCCAGAACCCATCTCTGAGTTAAGTGCCAAATGTACAAAATTCTGTCCAAATGGGAAGGTAGCCTCTTTTCTTTCAATCTTGATTTTGTTTCTTTTCATATTGTGGTATAGCATGGGACCATCATTGAATAATAGAGTAAGTCCATGAAAAAGCCAAACGATTTATTTACTAACAACAAATGAGAAGGCCCAGGCTTCTAATATTACTATAGCTGAAACTTGGCCTATATCTAACACTCACACAAAGTTATGAGTATATATCTATATGTGTATATCTTAAGACAAGCCTCGCTACTTAGCCTGGACTGGCCTGAAACTTAGGGTAATCCTCTTCTCCCTGCTTACTGAATGCTTAGATTATAGGCATGCACTACCATAGCCAGCCTGTATATGAACTTTACACTAAAAAATGCATTATCCCCAAAAACAGGCCTCTCAGGATCCCTTAGGACCATCATTCTTTTGTGATCTTTTCTTTCTTTTGTAATGCTGGTGATCAAACCCAGTGTGTTCCACATGCTAGGAAGCACTCTGCCACTAAGCTATAATACTAAACTTCCTACATCATCTCAAGAGGATCTTCATTACATCCACACACAACTGACACATGTTTATGGAGAATCTATTGAAGTAGGATCACTTTCTATTCGACATTATTTTAGTCAAGTTAACGGAACATTAGAAATTGAGAAAATAGCTAAGGGTGCTGGAGAGATGGCTCAGCAGTTAAGAGCACTTGTTGCTGTTGCAGAGAACCTGGGTCCAGTCCCCAGTACCCATAAGGCGGCTCACAACTATAATTTCAGTTCCTGGGGATCTAACACCCCTCTTTTGGCCTCCATGAATACTGCATGCACACAATACACTCACAAATGTGTAGGCAAAATACACATACAAATAAAATGCCCATACAAATAAAAATAAATAGAACTCGTTCCCCCTTTGAGACAGGAGCTTACTATGTAGCCTTGGACTATATAGACCAGGCTGCTCTCAAATTCATAGAGATCTGCCTGCCTCTGGCACTGGAATAAAAGGTGTGCACGCACCATTACATTCCACCATAAATTACAATAACAACAACAACAAATTTTAAAAAGGAAATTCAAGAAAATAGCTAGGTATGGCGGGGCAGACCTATTAATTTCAGGACTCAGGAGATTGTGAAGAAGGATCCAAAAATACCGTCTCAGTAAGTAAATAAAATAGAATTTCCTAAAAAACATTCCATACTTCATTTTCTTCATGCATTATTACTACTAAATTAGCAGCTACTACACTGAAATAGTAATAATAGATTCTTTTACAAATATCAATTCACTCAAGCTTTACAACTACCATTACAAATACCAGGTTGAGCTGGAAGTGGTGATCCAAACCTTTTCACTTGGGAGGTAGAGACAGGGATCTCTGGGTTAGATGCCAACCTGGTCTAGAGAGTTCCAGGACAGCCAGGGCTGTTATGCAGAGAAAGTCTGTTGTCTTAAAAACAAACACACTGAAGCTTAGGAATTTATTACCATTTTACAGAGTGCGAAAGTGAGAATATTACTTAATTTTAAGTAATTTGATCAAAATGATCAGCAACAGGGGTTTCATATGCCTGCCTATTTTAGTGGGTCATTTGTATAAGGGTAATAGCAACTATAACTATAGCCTGCAATTACTGAACAAATATCCATAACTCACAAACAAACTAAAAAGACAAAAAGAATTTCCACTTTTTCAGATGAGGAAGTTTACCCTCAGGGAAGCAAACTAACCTGTATATGGTTGTCAGGCACTGAAACACTAAAAATAGAATGTGGCTTTCAAGTCAGGTGTACCAAGCTCTTTTTTCATTACACTCTAAGAATAAAGGTTACATCTATACTGGAAGTTAACCTTGTCTTTCCCAACCTTTACCAGGCTGATGAAAAGCACCACCACTCACCTTTTCCAGTAGTGCCTTTCGTAGACGACGCTCCTCCTGCACCATAATGAACATCTCTTTATGTACAGCTGCTGCTAGGTTCAGATCCAGCTTCTCGGGGCAGGCAGCCATCTTGCAAATAAGCTCCTCATGAGAAAAAACACAGTATCTTCGCAGCCGGCGGTAGTGCTCAATGCACTGGCGTCCAGCAGGCAGCTGTGAACAGGTTCAAAGCTGAACTTGGCCAAGTCTGAAGGAAGCTGTACTTTGGCTTCCCTATAACTTTCTACTTCTCCCTACCAGCCGCCACACTCCAGACTCACCCAGTCAGCAGTGCAAAAGTTGACTGCCTCAGCGAAGTTGTAGCCTTGGTTGAAACCACTGTGGTAAGCACGAGGAAAAGTGATGACGAATTCTCCTGCACACTGATTTGTTCGAACAACCTAAGGGTTGAAAAAAAAAAAAGGCTAAAACCATTGAGATAAATCAAGGCTTTCCAGTTGTCAGCAACCTAACCTAAGAGTGGGATCCTAAAGGAGACAAAGGAAAGCTTCAAGGAACAGAGTATGACAACAAAATCCCAGGCATCCATTGAGTCACAAGAGGTAGGAAATATATGCATCAAATCACTTCACTTCAACTTTCCTGTTAATATTTTAATACAATTATAAGAAACACTTTCCACTAAGATGACCATGATTTCACATTAATATTCATTTGTTTTATTACATGGTTTTGGGAGTCAAATGCTTCTATGATATTGATTACAAAACCAGCAGGTGCTGTTATTCTCTTTCCCAGGGCCAACCATATTCATCTCTTCTGACTTTCAAATATTAACCTTAAGCACTCTAAATAATATGGATCTGAGCTGGGCAGTGATGGCACACACATTTAATCCCAGCACCAGTACAGTCGGGCTACAAAGAGAAAAGTCTCAAAAAATAATAATAATAATAATAATAATAATAATAATAATATGGACCTGGATTATTGTGCTTGCTCTGGCAGCACACACACTAAAAAATTGGAACGAACAGAGATTAATAGCCCCTGTGCAAGGATGACATACAAATTTGTGAAGCGTTTCATAGGTTTTAAAAGACCATTTAGACATTAAAAAAAAAATAGCATTGTCAGCCAGGCATGGTGGTATATACATTTAATTCCTGCCTCAAAAAAAAAAAGAGTGCCCAAATTAGTGGCTCATAACCAAATATAACTCCAGCTCCAGAGGATAGATAGCACTTTCTGAATTTGCTTAGTTTTGTATACATATAATAACTTGAGCCCTAACTTTCTGGTAGAAGCCCAAACATCTTTTCTACGCATTTTTTGCCTTTCTGTAAGTCTCTCAGCTTTGTTTTTTTGGGGGGTTTTGCTTTTGGATACGAGGATATTACTACATACATAGCACAGGTTAGCCTTGAACTAAAACTCCTGCTTCAGCCACTCCAGTGCTGGGATCATGCAGATTTCTAATCTTTTTCATCTGAACCATTTATCTTCCCTAGATCTCATTTCCTAGAACCTATGCTCTTCTCTTTGCTGACTTATTCCTTTGCTGTGTTTGAACATGGTCAGAAACAGCTTATTTGGAAGAGAGGTGTTTAGTCTCTTACACTTGATTGCATATAGAATTCCAAAATGAAAATCATTTAGAAGGGTTTGTTGTTTAAGACAGTCTTACTACCCTAGCCTGGCTGGCCAAGTATTTATTCGTTATGCAGTCCAGGGTAGCCTTGAACTTGAGGCAATTCTACTTGATTCTCACAACTACTGAGATTACAAGTATGTATTACCATGTCCAGCTCATTTGGGACTCTTTCTGAAGTCTTTTAGATTTCAGTACTGTTAAAAGAATACTGAATTAAAATTCTTTTTCAAGATGCTTATACAATGCTCAGTGTCTGACAAAAATATATCTTGGTGTGGATCTGTCTTATTTGTATATTAGGTAGGCTACTTTGATTCAAGAAACAATCCTTCAAGAAAATTTTCTTTAGGGCTAGAGAGATTGATCAGTGGTTACGAGCACTGATTACTTTTCAAGAGGAACCACATTCAATAACCAACACTCACATGGTGACTAATAAATTTCTGCAACCCCACACCCTCTTTTGGCCTTCACAGGTACCCGTAATGCATATAGTGCACAGATGATATACATGCAGGCAATTCATATAAAATAAGAATAATCTCATTTTTCAAAATTTCAACAATTTGGGGGCTGGAGAGATGGCTCAGGTCTTCCAGAGGTCCTGAGTTCAATTCCTAGCAACCACATGGTAGCTCAAAACCATCTGTAATGAGATCTGGTGCCTTCTTCTAGCCTGCAGGCACAAATACAGACAGAACACTGAATACATAATAAATAAATAACCCTTAAAAAAACTCAACAATTTTATTAATGATTCTACCATTCTGTCTATTCTTTGTAACTTCTATTATTTGAATGTTAAACTTACTATATATTCTATAACTTTTTTTCTACCTTTTCTCATTTTTATCTTTCATTCTATTATTTATTATTCTTTTTTAAAAAATATTTATTTATTTATTATGTATACAATATTCTGTCTGTATGCCTGAAGGCCAGAAGAGGGCGCCAGACCTCATTACAGATGGTTGTGAGCCACCATGTGGTTGCCGGGAATTGAACTCAGGACCTTTGGAAGAGCAGGCAATGCTCTTAACCACTGAGCCATCTCTCCAGCCCTATTTATTATTCTTAAAGCAGTAAATCTTAAAACATTTCTTGCTTTTACTATTGCTATAGCTTCCATCAGCAATCACCAGAAATGTTCTATTTAAAAAAAAAAAATCTAACTCTGAACATGGTATGCCTCACCCAAGCCCCTCTGAAATAAACTCCATGACTACATGGGTAAAGAAGCCATGAGTCTGGCAGGCAAATTCTTACTCTTTTATGAAGGACTATGCATTGGGCATTGAATATTGAATGTTCATCTTTAAAACTTTTGTGAAACTTGTTTTTTTTTTTTTTTCGAGACAGGGTTTCTCTGTGGTTTTGGAGCCTGTCCTGGAAACAAATTAAACATATTAAATACTTTATAAACCTGGTCCAGATACCCTAGTCCTAAATGACTCAGTCTGTTGTTCTATAATGTCTTATAACTTATTTTAATTGTTTGCTGTTCTCTGTCTTCCACTAATGGGTACACTCCCAGGGCAGGAATCACTTTATTGATCTTTAGGGTGGTAACCAGTGGCCTTGCACACAGAAAGAACAATCAAGCAATATCTGTTGAACAATCTATTCTCAGACTTTCTTTTTTTTTTTTTTAAAGATTTATTTATTATGTATACAGCGTTTTCCCTACATATATGCTGCAGACCAGAAGAGGGCACCAGATCTCATTACAGATGGTTGTGAGCCACCATGTGGTTGCTGGGAATTGAACTCAGGACCTCTGGAAGAGCAGTCAGTGCTCTTAACCTCTGAGCCATCTCTCCAGCCCCCTATTCTCAGACTTTCTAATTTCATGGATGCAAAAGCCAAGTTCCAGAGAAGCCCCAGATAGCAGACCCAGGAAAATAATGCTCCTGATTTCCTCTGAAGCTCACTTTGCTAATGTTACTTTACTGTTTCCTAGATGGTGGTTTAAACAAGGCACCTCTATCCGGATGTGGAGTTAACATGCCTACAATCCCAGCATCTGGAAGGCTGAGGTAGGAGATCATAAGTTTGAAGCCACCTGACAAATTTAAGGATAGCCTGGACTATCTCAACTTACACTATGCTATCTCAACAACAAAACAAACAAGAAGTAGTTATTCTATTCTACAGCTATTAAAAAGGAGTAACGGTTCTTTTCTTCCATCATGTGGGCTCTGGGAATCAAACTCAGTTCTCTAGGCCGGGTGGTAAGACCCATTGAGACATCTCACAGGCCTGAAAATGAGAAATATGAATAAATAACAACAACAAAAAATTTAAACTCAGAATGAAGTGAATATTATTGAGCCATAAAGAGAATGAACTTCAGATACATGCTGCAACATGGATGAACCTTGAAAACACATTGAGAGAAGCCTCCCATGAAAGACCAAGCAGTATTCTGCTTGTATGAACTAACAAGAAAGGCAAATATAGAACAAGAAAATAAAATGAATGGATGCCTAGTCCCTACAGGCTAGAATGGAGAGTGACTGTAAATAAGTATAATGGGTTTTTCTGGGGTGGCAAAATGTTTTTTGGTTTTTTTGTTTTTTTGGTTTTTCGAGACAGGGTTTCTCTGTGGCTTTGGAGCCTGTCCTGGAACTAGCTCTGTAGACCAGGCTCGTCTCGAACTCACAGAGATCTGCCTGCCTCTGCCTCCCAAGTGCTGGGATTAAAGGCGTGCGTCACCATTGCCCGGCGTGGCAAAATGTTTTAAAATTGGATTGCAGTGACGACAGCAAATCTCTGTAGGGACATCAAGATTATATAATTAAAATGGATGAATTTTACAGAATGTAAAAACCATATTGCAATAAAGCTGGTTTGAAGAAAGACAATGGCAGTCATAAAACCATACTTGAGGGGCTGGAGAGATAGCTCAGTGGTTAAGAGTACTGACTGCTCTTCCAGAGGATCCGGGTTCAATTCCCAGCACCCACATGGCAGCTCACAACTGTCTGAAGATACAGTTGCAGTGGATCTGACACCTTCACACGAATGCACATAAAATAAAGTTAAATAAACCATTAAAAATATTAAAAAAAATACTGAACAGCACTGTCCAAGAGAAATATACCAGGCTCAAAGGTGCTTAGAAAAAAATAGTTCTTCCTTTTCTAGTACTAAGTTCTGACTGGATCCAGGGCCTTGCTAGACAAATATTCTACCAAGCTGTAGGCCTTGAACTTAGGATCCTTCTGACTCAGCTTGTCAAGCAGCTCAGATTATAGGGACATAATTTCAAGTGAAGCCTGGTCACTTGTAAATTTTTTAGTAGCCACATCAGAAAAGAAAGAAAAAAAAACCCAAGCAAAATAACTTTATTTTGTTATGTGACAAACCCAGAATGTTGAAGCGTGTAGGTGTTATATAAAAGTGTTCGTGAAATATTTTACATTCTTTGTTTAAACCTAAGTCTCAATTTCAACATTCATTTTATAGTTGGTAGATTTCATCTGGGACTAGACATATTTGAAATGCTCAGTGGCCACAGGTGACTAATGGCTATCAAATTGGACAGTACAGTTCTAGATCATACATATAAGAGATTATAAAATTCACACAGTTTACTGCTTCATCAAACTTTACATAAAAAAAGTAACATGGACATATAGCAAATGTTTAGGATGTAGGGATTAGGAAATGACCTATTTCCCATTTTTTTGGAAAGGAGGTATGCTTCCTTAAAAGAAATGGCATTTCACAAAGGGAGCACAGTGGGGGGGGGTATATGTGATACACATGACATGACATGACACAAGGACCTAAACATAGCTTACTTACTAAACTGTAGCCTGCCAAGTAGGAACATGAAGCTCACAGGTAATTTGGACTGGAACGTATATTGACAATCCAAAGAGCCTAGAGATACTGAGAACTATTCAGTCTAGAAGGGCAGGATGGTCAGAGACAGCAGTGAAGCAAGAGCTGGTCAGAGAAGCTGGTAAACCATGAACAAGAAAAATACTGTGGAAGTTGAAATAATGTGTATGAGCTGGGCAGTGGTGGCACATACCTTTAATCCCAGCACTCAGGAGGCAGAGGCAGGAGGATCTCTGTGAGTTCGAGGCCAGTGTGGGCTACAAGAGCTAGTTCCACGACAGGCACTAAAACTACAGAGAAACCTTGTCTCAAAAAACCAAAGGAAAAAAAAGAAAAAATAATAATGTGCATGTTTGAATGTCTGTGATAATTTTTTAAAAAGAGGTTAAAAGGGGTCAGCTCTGACTCCTGTCCCACTCTATATCTTAGTTGCCCTAATCCTTAAGCGAATCCTCTTTTACTCTATAGTTTTCCTTTATATTTTAGACAAAGAATATGCTATGGATGAGGAAGGAAAAAGTCTGAGGAAAGGTTAGACGCAATAACTACTTGTGAATCAGCAGAAATGAAGGGCCCACAATCATTTTGTTTG